CTGTCTGTCCGTCGCAAAACAAGTCGGGACTACACCTCATAGACTTCTGATGTAATGTCATCCAAACTTTTCAGGAATGGTCAATTTCCAATTCAATTAATTGTGTCACAATTATGGCACTTTAATGGTTTTTATTTATAGAATTTTGTGAACTTTCTTTACACATTTTTTACGAATGTCAGAATAATCGGGTTCATTGAAAGACCCTGACAATATCAAATGATCGGGAATAGAGCCCATAAAAAAACCATTTCGGAACGTCTATATTGATAATGAAAATCATGGAAAGGAGTTATTCCTTGGAAGAAATGGAAAACAACAAAAACATGAAAGTTGCAGACGACTCAGTTTGATTGAATAACCCTCTCCCCTAGCACCGACTAATTCACAACAACAGATGTAAAAAAATAATGTTAAAACAACAATATTATAAAACACTTCCCATCTATGTATTTTAAATGTTTAGAACTATCCATGTCAATGTTGTAGATCTCTTCATCATTTGTAGTTAATGTGCCTTTTCCTTCCTTTCCTGTTATATAATATTATGTTAGAAGTAATCTGATATTTTTCTCACTCTTTAAACTAATTTCTCTATATGTAGAAGCGCCTTTTTATCAAAACAAAAAGTCAGTCATAACTTTGTAAAATAGTTCTGGATTAGTTATACAAGATATATCTAAATTATGAAATTTCATAAGGGTAAACATGGAATCGATAGTCGCAGGATCCTTGATCATATAAAACATAATATCATATAGCAATGATGATTTAAACATATTTTCAGGGGACAACTTGATCAAACTGTTGATATAAATTCGTGATAACATCATCCCGAATTTGAACCTCATTTCAGATAATCGTTTAGCATCTGTGACACATCCTCTCATGGACAAGATTCGGGCTCTAAGTTTCTCTATCCTTAAAACAAACAGACCCCCAGTATCCAAAAGACCTAGTATGATACCCTTAAGCCGGATAATTTGAGATGGTTTCCCCTTTCCAAGGAGTAGATTCCTTTCTTGAATCATATAATTAGGCACGAAGTTGGAATGTAAACAGTTTCGTAGAAAAGCAAGCGCTTGTAGCAAAAGGAATATTAATCTTTCGGGAGAATTGCACGTACATGACTCAATATGTTCTGACATCCAGAACATAACATTTTTGATCATGTAGGAACTTATAATATCACAATTTGGTTTAATCAAATACTTGTTAACCAATTAAAATAAAATGTAAACTTTTAATAGCAGCGGACTGAGATGAGACACAAGAAGACTTTCCGCAGTTGTGAAAGAAATTCTCCATTCGTAATTCTGATTCTCGCTGCAACTAGCACCAACTGGAACAACGTAAGCATCTGTCTCTATAATGTCTTGACAAACAGACTGTGGTGGCCAATATCTGTCACGTTTACTCCAAGAATCTAATACTGTCGATGATATATAAGGCATTGCCATCACATAATCAAAATCACATGATACATCTATATTCGGCATCAAAGGTATTCTTAGATGATAAGTTGAAGGAACGGACGGTCCTTGTTGTCCCCGACCTTCTCTGTCTGTGCCATCATAGGCAAAATATGAGCTTACTGATTTTCTACATTTTCAAAGAAATTACGCATGCACGTGCTTTCAAGAAACACTTGACCACTATTTAAGTCATATTCAGCGACGAAATCTAACAAACACATTGCAATCATATTAGAATCCATTTCTAAAGGATTAAGTTTTGTATAACCCAGCGGAGAATCCGCTGTAATTGCTTGAATTATACAAAGTTCACTTTCTATCTGAGCATTGTCCAAACAAAGGAAACTGCGATATATTTGAATAATATCAATGTCACTTTCACTTAATTTTGCAATGCCGTCTCCTACACCCCCGGTGACCATAAAGTCGATCTCAGAACATGGAAACAAGTTTTGTACCATGTTAGTGTGTATTGACAACAAATGCTTTACTATCTCAGCTCTCCCTTTAATCATTTCCTCAGAGTAGCCAAGAAAATCCATAGCAGTGTTTGTGACTGCAGATAATTCTTTAAGAGTCGGCGCCGACATTTTATCTGCAAATATAAAATTCACATTTTAAGTCTATTCCTTTATAATTATTTTGAAAGAAATATATCATAGTTTAACCCATTATGATACGGTGTGTACAACAATTTTAAAGAGCTAATTTCTTCGCATATCAAAATAGAAAAACAGGATGGAAATTTCTACAGAGATAAAAAAGTATATGTTTTCATAACTTTACAGCGATAAAAATAATGTATATGTTTTCATTACTTCTACATCTAAAATAAAAGAATACTACTATTTCGAAAAGACGAAAAAGTCAACATTTGTCCAACTTTCGCTCCGCGAGTTTTCGCCTGTCGGCCAGCGTAGCGAAAATACTAACACACGAAAATTTTGAAGTAATGTCTTTGTCGTACTTTTGTGTTTTCGCCTGGCACCCGCAAAAGAAATATAACAGATTCTAGAAAATTCGAAGATGGAGCCACGATGGTGAAAACTCGATACAATTTCGTGTTTAGAACATCATCGGTTTCCACTAGAAAGGTTTCGTTGTTTTGTTATTTCCAGTTTTTAATTACCATATTTATTACTTTTCATCATTGTATATTGACTTAACGGGACGTTGTATAATATTAAAATATTGTAAATACGACTAGAATTCTCAGGTGCGTAACCTGAATGCGATATCCAAGATCCATGAGTTTTGTGTGTGGTTTTTATTCGACCATTTTGAAAATCCCCACCCCATTAGATGCGCCATTGTTTATTTCGTTTATAATCATTTCTTTTAAGTGTACTTAAATTAATTATTTACCATAAAATAGCTAAGATATCAAAATCTTTCTTTTTATTGAAAAGTATACGAGTGTTTGAAAAATAATGTATAATATATTTTCATTTTAATTAGTAAGCAAAACAGGGATTTAAACCATAGACCTCTTTGCAAGGCCAATTACCTACCAACTGAGCTAGGGTTCATCGGTCATTATAATGTTCAGCCTTGCTAATTTTGTACATTTGATAAATAGTTTGTCTTTTATCTCCTTTTATGACTTCATGTAAAACTCCCATAGATCAATATGATTTGTTCTGATTTAATATCAACCTAACAGCAAATAGTCCCTATTCATTCCCATGAGATATTTTTATACCACCTCGGGGTACATAACACTTAATAAATCTGTTGTGAAACATGGCTGTCAGGGTGATAGTGGATATTATCGGAACAGAACAGAACAGAAAAATTATTCAGTCTTATGCATATACAGCACATCGACATCAACCAATATATAAATACATTTGTGACAACAATGACATAGTTAAAACACATAATCATATATACAAGTTGCATAATCAAAGAGAGTGTTTCAAAAGTTTAGATATCACCTTTTAATGAATCGATTAACAAAGAATGTTACTGATTATAAGTTACTCTTTCCGAATATTAGTAAATGCAATGCATGTGTAGGTCTTCCTCTACGCGGCATTTAAAAATTCTTGTCGCTTATGGAAAGCATGTTTTATATACACTGAAATTTTATAAAGCAATGGCTTACTCTCAGTTTTCATCAGTTCAACAAATTTTACCATACTTGGTCTAACACGGAAATATCTTGGGATATACCTAATACGTAATGTATTATAAAAACTACATTCCATGACAAAATGATATTCATCTTTTATTGTACATTGTTCGCATAATTCACACAGTCTATTTTGTCTTCCTATATTTCTATGTCGACCGTATTCTACATTTAGCCAATGAGATGACATTATAAGCTTTGATAAATATTGTCTATGTTTCTTATTTTCAATTATTAAAATATACTTTGACAGTTCAAACTTTTTCTTTTATTTCCCTGAATAATATCAAACTTGGGCTACCGTTCACTTTAGCCAGCCACTCTGAAATGTAAATGTCCATCAGTCTTAATCTCAATGTAGGTATAAATAATCTTGGCTCAACTGATGATGGAAATAATCACACCTCGCCAAATCCTATTCTATTTAGTAATGTCTTAACTTTAAACAGCCAATTATTTTCTCCTTTTTCACACCACAAAAGCATATTGTTATACACATTTTGTAATATACAGTTTACGTTATTGTTAACAAGTTTAAACGAATATTTAATAATCCTTATACTCCAATTTATAAAAAGAGGCGTTCTTCCTGTTTCGCCATATATCGCTAGATTGCTTGTGGACATTTTAACGTTCAACACACTTTTAATAAATTTCCTATGAACTTCTATTGTATCAGCCTTTGAAAATCCCCATATTTCGGACGAATAGCATAAGATTGGGGACACGTATGAATCGAATAAATGGAATTGAATGTTAATTGGTACATTTGCATATCCATGCCTCTAGTTAATGTATATAGTGAGTGCACAGCTTTCCCGGCTTTACCAGATAAAGTGTCTACGCTTGAATGAACCGCCAGTACTGACCATAAATCCCAAATAAGTAAACGATTCTACCACATCTATTTTAATACCTTTATACGTCCATTGTTCTGTTTCTGCTAATCGACCACCTTTCCGAAACACCATTATTATCGTCTTATCTATGTGAACAGTCAATTTCCATTTTTCGCAGTAAATTTAAATATGATTGGAGGCCTTCCGGCGTGTCACTTAAAAGAATACAATCGTCTGCAAAAAGAATAAGATAAATGGAAATATGTTCTAGGTCTATTCCGGAAAATATATTTTCTTGCACGGCTAATTCAAGGTCATTGATAAACAGAGAAAATAGTATCGGTGAAGTTATCTCCCCTTGAAATAATCCAATATCGCAATTGAAGAAGTCTGACAGCTCATTTAAATGTTTTACACTTGATTTCACCTCACTGTACATAGATCTAATTATATTTAAAAATTTCCCGTTGATAGTTTGATTTATTAGTGACTGTAGGACAAATATAGCATCTGTTGTACTGTGGTCTGCTCTAAATCCGAATTGTGCGTCTGTTAGCCGATCATTTTCATTGCGCCATTGTAGAATTCTTTCATTAAGGATTGACGTAAAGATTTTCCGAAACAACTTGTAAGCGTGATACCGCGATAGTTATTTGTATCATCACATGGTGGCTTCTTTAAAATAGGCACTATGACCCCTTCTGTCCATTGCTTTGAGAATTCACCTGAATCAAGTTTGGTATTAAACAGTTTTTCTAATGTTTCGACTAGTATGTCTGCCGTTTCAAGGAAATATTCATTTAAACATGTATCTATGCCTGCACTTTTATTTCGCTTTAATTTTGAACACGCTTTACGAATTTCTTCTTTTGTGATTGATCTGTCAATATCACACGAAGATACATTATCATCATGTTGATTTTCGTCAAATAATTTTAAAAAGTCCTCTACTTCATCGTCGGTAATGTTTTGTTGGGTTGCTAAATTCTTGAAGTGCTCATAGAAATCTTCAGCAGAGACAGCCTCGTTCTGGCTCTGTCCTTTTGGTTTAAACATTCGCCAAAACTCGCGCGGTTTTTTCCTGCGCATTTCATCCATATCTCTACCTCGTTTTACATTATATTCTTTCTTTGTTTTCCTGACGCAGTATTTATAGTCTTTTTTAAACTGTTTCATTCTAGTAAAATTGTCTGAATTCCTTTCACATGTATATAGCTCTAACGCCTCTAAATACATTCTCCTTTTCTCTTTACAATTACCATTGTACCACTTTTTTCTTTCCGTGCATTTATTATCAATAAAAGTGTAATTTCGGCAAACGATTTTCTTTTCAAAATATTTATTTCCTATATTTGTGATATAATTTGTGTAATGTTTTACTTTATCTGAAACAGATAAATGCGTACTGTTCACTATATCTTCCAATGTATTCACTCCACTCATAATATCCACTTTGAATCTATCTCAGTCAGTCAATTGCAGTAGTTTAAGCTTAATGAGGGTCTATCCGCCCGCGAGGGCACAAAATGCAGCTTGCGCTGTCGAGTACGAACCCCGGACATGTCACCAGTCATGCCCTTAAAGAGTTAATATTCATCATTCCATTTATAAATTGTCTTTGTATAATTTTCGTTAATTTCTCTATGTTGGCCAATCGATATTCCGAACGATATTGGGGTGTGATTAGAGTATTCCGTATCATTATGCACTTTAAAATCCTTTATATAGGTGAATAACCTTGTTAACACTAGGTCAACCAGGCTTTCGCCGTTATGGGTCATGCACGTGAAATTACCGTTATCGTCTGCTGAATTAGATCTACCGTTAACAATACACATATTTACAGCTTTGCACAAGTCTATCAGTAAATCCCCGAATCTATTCGTGCTATAATCCATTGATCTTCTACTCGGGGGTATGTCGTTTAGTGATTGGTTTAAATCCAATGATGATATCGTTTCATCTTCAAAATAATCACTTTTTTGACCGGTTCTACAATTTGTATCTCCCAATAGCAATGTTCGTCCCAATTGCGAAAAATGCATTATTTCTTGTTCAAGCTTGGTAAATATGTTTACATTATATATATCATGGACGGGGGAATTTTCTGGTGCTATATAGGTCACTGCTATGTACCAATCTTCGTCAGTGAGGAAAAATGTTTTATCTAGTTTAAGCCACACCAAGCAGTCTATATCGTTTTTTATCAACTTGACACCTTTTCTAATAGAATCCTTAATATATATTATAATTCCTCCACTAGCTCGCCTCGCCCGCCTGTTTTGAAACCTTCGGAATGAATGAAATGGATTACTGTAACCTTTCAATTCAATATTTGATTTTGCTGTAGTCCATGTCTCGGATAAGCATACTATATCAAACTTTGAGAGAAAATTGGGTAGGTCATCGCTTGATCGTTTATCCTGAGTCAGACCTTCAATGTTCCATGATAATATATGTAAAACACTCTCACACCGTTCCTATGCATTTACCCCTTTTTGTTGATCTTGATCAACAATAATTAATTTGCCCATTTTTAAAAACGCCCTTTTTCCTTCACTTCTTGCCTTTTTCAATTCGGGAATAAGAAGCTTTCTTTTTTCCTGTATTTCCTTTGGAAATTGTTGACTGACCCCAATAGGTTTCCCTTTAAGGTTACCACAAGACCGTCTTACTTTTTCTCTGTCGGCAACATTCTCAAATTTAACCAGTATTGGACGTGTTTTTCCGGTGTTTGGTTTTCCCATTCGTTCGACACTGGTAAAAGGTATTTCTTTAGCATTTTGTACTAGCATATCGTCATGTATCACTTTGACTATTGCATCTTTCCTAGATTCATCTGTTTCTGAGCTGTTTTCTGCAATTTTGAAAAACAGTAGATTGTTTCTAAATTCATTGCATTTCAATTCATTTAGGTACTCGTCACATTTTGCCTTTTCATTGCCAATCTTGCCCATTTTTTTAACAAAATCATCTATTTTATTTTGTCTTTTCTTTATATCTTCTATTGTTTTTGAGTCATATTCTCGGCTTTGTTCAATTTCACATACTTTCTGTTCGATTGTTTTTACCATAGGTCACACATTTTTGCCGTTAGTACATTGACAGAAGACTGTATTGTATCCAGCTGACCCAATTGTTTGTCCATGATGTCTAATCGACTAGGATTAGTGAGAATGGATCAATACCTCCAGGTGATTGTGAAATAGGTGTGCTGGTCAAACGCTGATTTGCGCTCACGTTTTGTCCCGTGGGGGTCATAGGGGGTAAAAGTTGTAGTTGATTAGCACTGTTTGTGCGATATATGTCTGGTTTTGTTGCGTATTCAAATTACAGCTCATAGTGGAGGGTTGATGAAAATTTTGACTTGCCTGGTTATTGTTTACTCCATTGTTTATTCCATTGTTATTTCTTCCACTATTTACCAAATATTGACCACTTGTACAATTTTGTAATGTAAAACTTTGAGCCATTGCTATACGTTTTTTGTCCGTTCCTTTGTCACGAGGAGGTGTTGACTTTGACTGTTTGCGTTTTCTACCCATTTACACTTCAAATGATCTCTAAACATCCATCTAATCAAAGAAAACCAGATTTTTAAAATAAAAATCCTCTCCGATTTTTTAAATTGATGCCACCATTGTCACGCATGCGCATAATCAACCAAAGAACTTGTTTTGTTGTTGTTTCTTTTCGTGAGATCATAATGGGTAACCCGTTTTAAAAGATAAAAAAGTGTTACAATTTTATTATAGCAAAAACTATTGTTTACACAATTGACATGGTTATTCCCTTGTGTGTAAAAGTTCGTTGGTACCTAATATTGTGTGAACAATTCTGCATTGAAACTATTGTAAATTCGTGTTTAATGTAATGTCCAATATAAGAGAAAAATTTGCTCCATTCTTTGTTCTCAAATTTATCATATAGTTTTCGTTTCCATTTAAGTTTACAAACAGGCATACAGTTATTTAATGCATTTGCTGTGAACCTTTTTGAACCTTTATACATTAATTATAACAATTACAACTACTATTGGTCGTTTTGAACAGTTGTATATCCAAGCCATGTAAATGGATAAAAACCGTTTAAACGTTGAAGGAGCCAAAATTGTAGCAAACATTTAGTTTTAAAGAAATAAACTGAATATACCACATACCATTAAATTTCAAGAAAAGAGAAGCAGTGACTACCAACAGATTGATTTCAGTAATTTATAATGTCCAGAATTAGAAATTTCAAATCCCGACATATTTTGATAACAAATATTTTGAACAAAATTAATATTTTTTTGTTTGTTTATGATTACAATATAATTATATTTCAGATATTTGTAGCATTATGTTTTAGTTAATGAGCATCAAACACCGTACAAAATGTATAATATTGAATTACCCGAGCAGCATAATTTAACATATTCCCTAGTTTTACGCCAATAACTTGTTTAATCACTGCTATTTTTTGTTTAAGTATAACGTATACGTACTTAAAATACACATATGCTACGAAATTTGAATAATTTACTGTAACAAGAATTTTAACTTTTTCTTCATATAACCTCCAAATATGATAGCACCACAATAATTATAACAATGATTGGCCTTCGGCTTTGGTAACGAAATTACATTTTTTTTCTTTTAGCTTAATTTGAAAACATTTAAATTTAAGTATATATAAGCAGAAAAAAAATACAAGCTTGAAATATTAAACACAATCTCTAACATTTTAGATGATATCGATAATGAAATGGTTGAGGATACCACACAGACCAGGCACGAATAATACTAATCAGAAAGTCAACTATTATAGTTACAAAAATATTAATTGTCAAATGCATGTATACCTCTTGTACAATTTGTATTCAAAGTTGCACCATGACGTATAAAATGAAACGTATATTCTGCACAACAGCTATAAGAATGGTATTGATCCCAAACGTCACAATCCACGTGATATCATAATATTTTCTTCCGTATTTTTTTCTGCTTGACTTGACTTACAAACGAATTTGAAAACGAAACATAAAATACAAATATTGTCATAAAAATAGCTCTTTATCATAACCTACCAAAGTGGCATCGTGTCATTAGCAATTCTTTCTTATAAGAATATGTAGCGGACAAAGATAAGTTAATTCAATTTTTATGCCGAACACATACCTGCTACTTATTTAAGTTAAAACGAAACTACAAAGTGTTAAATATTTCTTTTTATATTTCAGTCTTAATTTATATTTCAGTCTTAATCCGACGGTCAAGACAGCGAAAACACAAGTTCTGTGACCAGTGCTTGTAATCGTGGTATACATTTATTTGTATAGGCTTGCAAGACCTGTTACAGCCACTCTGACAATACATAATCCTTTTGCACATTATCCACATTGGACGTAATAGCTGGCGTACATATAAATTCGCAGTGTAATTTAAGTAAACAAACACTTTTAATTTGTTCTACGTTGATTCTCTAAATGAAAATAAAAACAATAATATTTGCAACCGCTTTATTTTTTTTCAATTGTCATAATTATGTACCAGCACATAAACGCAACGACATTACTGTTTTTTTGTGCTTTATCTATTGCTTAATTTTTATTAGAAAGCATAGTGGAATTATAGGATTAATTAGATAAAAACATAGACGGCAACAGCGAATTTTGTAAAGTTCTAGTAATATCACTGAAAATGTTCAATGCTAACATATAACAATGACTTTGGCTTTTGTAAACACAATTACAAAATATTTCCTGTAACTTGATTTGAAAACATTTAAATGGCGGATTTACATAAAGTAAAATTATATACTTGTAACAGTACGAAAAGAAACAATACAATTTTGAAAAATTAAAACCATTTTCTAACATATAAAATGATATCGAGAATGAAATGGTAGATGATACCTCACAGAGGATACCGGATTAATACGAACCAGTCAATTTAATAAAATCAAAACAAAAAATAATAACTTTAAAATATACCTCTTATACAATTTGTATTCCACAAATATTGCCCCGCGGCGTATGAAAGTAATGAACCGTTTTATTTTGTACAACACCTATAACAACGGTATTGATCACAAACGTCATGATTCACGTGATATAATATTTTCTTCCACATTATTTTCCGCTTGACTTAAGTTACAAACAAATTTAATCAAAGCACTGAATGTACTGATGGGGAGGCTATGAGAGAATGTTTCAGACTTATAGTGTCTTTTCTTTTTGCTTAAAATATGCTACCAAAATAAAAAGATATGCACATTGCGCTATTTATCCTTACTGTTGTGTTCAACCATTCATATATATGGTTAATGTGGTTGACTATTCATTTTGTTAATATTCCAGAACATTTCATTGAGGTCTACATTCGGACTGTTAATCATACAAATTTTGAAAAACCTAAACTGTCAATAATAAATGACATACCAGCAAGTATGACGACTGTTCATTATCAGATAACAATAACATTTTACAACTGACGGTTCCTTATCAAAATCACAGGAAACTTGAAATTCTATCAAATAACCAATATTAATTATAAATATCCAAAATATACCCCCTATATACTATAAAAAAACACAAACACAGGAACTTGAAATTCTATCAAATAACCAATATTAATTATAATATCCAAATATACCCCCTATATACTATAAAAAAATTTATAGTATATAGGGGGTATATTTGGATATTATAATTAATATTGATTATTTGATAGAATTTCAAGTTCCTGTGTCAAAATATTCTAGGACTGTTCATCATAAATACTTTATGTCATTTTAATATTATTGAATGATAATAACAACTGCAAGTGATGCAACATTTTTTATTGAACATAAAAATTATACACGTTTAGATGTACCATAATTGAGATCAATAAGATACTGTCTTGTGATGAATATTAATATTCATGCTCTACGGACAGAAGGTTGTCTTCTCCAGAAGCAAATCTCGAATAAAATCACGTTTCAGAAAATTATTCCCATTTCATTACTGACGGCGTCGGATAATATTAAAGCTAAATATTTCTTGAAAAAAATACATATCTGCAAAGCTTATTCAAAACTGAATCAACCTAAGTGAAAATTGATCAGGAAGTTATATCTTCTTTTTTTACCGCCAACACTCAACCAACTAATGGTAGTTAATTGATAGCTTGTGTATTTTTAAACCTCACTAGCTTGAAATATATACTGCGGAAAATCTGTTGTTAACAGGGTGTGCGGTTATTACGTTAGGGTTTTCCCTGTCGACCATTTTTCCTGCAAAATAGATGAGAACACCGAAGCCGTCAGTGCTATGAATGATGTTATAAAATGGCGTGTTTTTGGAAGTTTTTTTTGAAACTTCTCCAATTTCCTCCAGAGGCGTGCACGTCGCGGAGAAGGCACACGGAAGGACATAGTCAAGTCATCATAAGTACCAGAGGTGATTGGTTGACCTGTCGTGACTTACTCTGGAGGTTTGGCGCTAATAGATGCCGTTTTTGTTGTCGTCAGTCAGAAAGTTGATGCCTTGACGGTATTGTCGTCTCCTTTACCACCAAAGAACGAAGAATGGGCTTCCAGGAAGAATCTGCTTGAAAAAGACGTCCCAGATGCTATAATCTCGGACATATGGTTATTCCGGCGCCGAGTATAAATAAACTTAAAACACACTCACTTTTGTTGAAAACAAAACAAAAAAAAACAACAACACATTTTCTGTAGTAATTTTTCAAGTGTTGTAAAATGAATAAGAAATTCCTCTTATGCCGCCGATTATTTTTAGAACACAAACATAAAAGTTCTTTTTTTTTTATTTTTCAAATAAACATTAATCACTTCAGCGCGCGCAAATATCGTTTTCAAATTAAAGTTTCGTAAGATATGTTAATGACTTCCCGATGCTCGACTGTAAGTAATTTGTATATGTATGCGTTTTTTTTTTTGTTTTTTTTTTTTAATTAAAGCTTCTTATTCT